CCGCCGCCCCCAGGACCCCCGGACCGCCGCAGGGCCCGCCGGCCGCTCACGCGCAGCGGCGCCGCCATCTGCTCAGCCCGACACGTGGCGGGATACTTCCCGGAGCTCGCCCCGATGATTGGCGGAGGCCGGGCTCTCCCAGCCAATAGGGGCGCGGCAGGACTCGGGGTGGGCGGGCGGATCGCAGGACGAACGGCAGGGGAGGGACCGCCGCGGGGACGGGACCTGGAGCGAGACCGCCCTGGCCCCGCCCCCGGACCGCTACGGGGAGGAGCCCGAACGGGACCCCGCCCCTGGGCGGCCCCGGCCCCGCCCCGCGCAGGCTCACGCCAGTCACCCCCTCGGGCTCCGGGGCTTTAGGTTCCGGGGCCCAGCCCCAACCGGGCGCCTGCGGCAGAAGGTCCCGTCGCTGTGCGACCCCCACGAGAAAGCATCCCACGGCCCACAGCAGCTCACAAGCCTAGACTTTATTAGGAACCAACCCGTAAGATACAAATCAGCCAAAAACTCCAAAGAAAAGTTGTGTGAAAGGGTTATATACAGGTACATCACAGAGGAGAGTGCAGGTCACCTCCAGCAGCACCCCCGCTCCCTGCACACAGCAGCAGCACCGGCTGCAGCTCTCAGGCCAGGCGTCTCCCATCCCCTTGCTCAGGGGTAAGCAAAGTTGCTGCCACATATCCCATCAGAGGCCCTTGACCTCAGCTCTCCATACACGTTAGTGCCCAGTGAGAAAGCAGCTGGTGCAGCCAGCGTGGCTCTGCCAGCCCTCTGCCCGGCCACCTCGCCGTCCCAGTGGGTTCAGGCGGAACACACCGCCCAAGAGGAAACCGTACAGTGCCACCCTCCTGCGAGCAGGGAACAGAGCCCCACACTGAGAAGCCAGCAAAGGCCACGGAGGCTCCCTGCGAGCCCAGAGAGGACATCAAGCAAACTGCACGCAGACAGGGCTGGAGCCAGGGAGATGGCAGAAGTGCCAGCACACTGCACAGCCTCAAGGGCAATGCCACATCTCCTCATGACTGTATTCCCTGCACCAATTAGTTAGAAGTCTTACCAAAGGGACTTAATCACCCTTACTGTACAGGCCATAGAGCAGGGAGGGGCAGTTTGTTGATGGTGCTGCCCTTGAGACCATCAGGGGAGAGGAGAAAGCCCCGTCCCATTCCAGCCTTCGCCTCTTCTCTGTGGGAGGGGGCACAGAGCCACCGTGGAGGCAGCCAGGCATGGCACCTAGAACACCAAGCACAGCTTTCCTGTAGAGCTACCCAGTCCGACAGGGCTGTTCCCTGCTCCAGTCTCAAAAGATTCCCCACGGTTCAGCTCCTGGAGCAACAAAGGTCGGGAAAGTGGCACCACCTGGTTTAAGTACAGCAGGAAGAGAGCTCAAAAAGAAGAGCGCATTCATTTGAGGTTAATACAGGAAACCAGTTTCAAGGGGAGTCTGTTTCAGAGAGAAGCAGCTGTCACAGCTCCTGCCCCTCATACTGGAGTTACAGCCCAGTCAGCTTTATGTTTTCTTCTTTAGCTCCTCAAATCTCCGAGAAAGATCATCAAAGTCAATGTCTTCAGAGGCAGAAGAGTTGGCGCCAGCAGATGCTGTCGGCAGTGTATCTGGCACGGATGGTAATTCAGGCAGCACAAAGTTATCAAAGGTATTAGGAGCTCCAGCTTTTGGTTTAGGAGAAGCTTCTGACTTGGGCCCAGGCCCTATTTAGAATAAGAGAAATACCATTTCACCTCATCATCATCACACTCTTACCAGGCCAAACAGAGCCACACAAAAGAAAGGTCATTCTACCAAAAAGGCAGTACACCAGTGTATTTTTCTGAACAGGACTCAGTGATCACGCACCTCCAACTGTGTGTAGACTCAATGGGGAAAAACACAACGTTTCAGGTTTATATGGCTGCAAGGGGCTGCTATCCTATGGCTGCACCAGACAGTAGAAGATCCCCTTCCACTGCCCACAGCCCAGCTGCTGGTGGGCTGAAGCTCCCACATGCCTATACTGGCTGGACTGCATCATGGGGATTCAAAAATCCCTGTTTCCTCCATTCCAGCACCTCCTAAAGACACACGCAGGTATCACATGCTGTCACCCAGCTGTCAGTCTGAAGCACACAGCCAGATCCAGTGCACCCATGGGCCTACCTTCTTCAGCACACACCACCAACACTCCCCAGAGGACTCCATTAGATCGTGAGAAATCCTTGCTGGAGCTGGCAAGCATCCACTTACTTTAAAAACCCTCTCCACCCTTATCAAGTGCTAGAGATAACAAGTGCTTTCAAAACACAGAGAGCAGAATCACACTCTACAAGGCAGGAGAATTTTTTTATGATCCAATTATGATGCATGAAGCATCTCGCAAGCCTTTAGGCAGATGGACCAGGGGATAACAGCTATCTCTACTACTCCTGCTCTGCTGTGTGCACCCTCAACACTGACATCAATATAAACCTATCTACCCTCTTAGTGCTTACTTCTTTCATTCTGTTGCTGCAGAACAATATTATTTATGCCATGTAAAAATATATTATCACTTACAGCTGTTGCTTTCTCATTTTATCCTGCAATGCCCTATACTTGGTCTGATGAGGCAGCTTAAGCTGGAGACCCAGTACTGACTACAAAGTCAGACTCCAGTTCTTGAGCTTCCCAGTGGAAGTCTGGCTTCTCCCCGTTTTGAGAGGATACTCTCCATCTCCATCAGAGTCCTCTCCAAACTCAAATCCTGCTCTTAAGATGTGTCAAGTTCTACACGTTGTTCCCTACATGGAAAGCTTCCTTCCAGGGACACTAGGATCCCAAGCTAACCACAGCCCCTAACCACCCTAGGTTTCCCAGACCTCTTGACATACTCACCAGCCACCGGCGCAGAAGCATCCTTGTCAGCATTAGGCTCATCAATCTGAAAAAGACTCTAAGTTACTACAGCTCACTCTCCTACCAGGCACAGAATCACATATTTGTGTAGGCACTGCTAATGGGCAACAGCAGCCACACCCATGCAGAGCAATGCATACCCCACCCCTCCCCAAGAAGGCAGGCAACCCTGGCTTCCAGCGCACTCAAAAGAATCTGCCTCTCTTCCCAAGAAAAGGAGGCAGTGCTTTGACTTTCCTCTCCCTCTCTTATCAATCAAAGCTTCCCTGGCCATATTCTGGAACTGGATAAACAGAGCATATCCACTAGGAGATCTGAAATACTTATCAAGGGAGAAGACTGCCCTCTTCATCCACGTAATCACAGCTACTGCTTCCTTTCTTTCATAAACAATAGATAGGTCCTTGTAACCAGCAGCAAGGTACTAAATGACCCCATCTCAGGTCTTGGTCCACTTGGGACAAAGGCACAGAGCATGGTCAGTTCTGCTGGTGTAACTCCTCATTCCCTGTGGGCTGCAGTGACATCTATCCTCAACCAGCTAACAACTGCTGCATCTGTGCCTGCATCTCCTGGACTCAAACGCTGCTGTGCAGCTAGTACAAGGTGTTAGCACATGCAGGTGCTTGGCGATGCTCATCCCTACACAGGAAACTGCCAAAACTAGAAGCATGTCGCTGAAAGCAAAATGGGAGGCATGATCATGAACTGCAGCAACAAACACATAGACAAGCATGGAAAGAGAAGACTCCAGCCTCTCCTCCGTTGTCCCCAAGGACTGAGAAAAGTCTGAGAAAGGAAAAGTGTTTAAACATACATCATTTGGGTCAGCCAAAACCATCATCCAGGCTAACTATGAATTAGTTCAAAAGCTGTAATTTAACAGACTGAAGGTGATAAACCCTTCACATTGCAAAAAACAGAATTTGTGGACTCTACCTGTTAAGCGTTTATCACCATTTTAGCACCACAGTAAAATAAATCTTGGCTTTCCTTTGCAGCACAGCTGAATGAGGAACTTCTCCTCACAAGTCATTCTCCCATCACATGCACTCCGTGATTCACCACACCCATAAGCAATGCCAAGCACCATCCCAAAAGCTCCAAAGGTTGACAGCAGTGTGTTTAATGAACATTTGCCTTTGCTGTGGCTACCACTGCACTCTTTGTGGTTCCCTCTGCTGCCTACAATGGTGATTCAGCTCAGGCACTTACAGACTCATATGTTGGTGGGGCTGCTGGAATTGGTGGTGGATGGATGTTAGTGAAAGGCTGGTAGGTCCCCACTGGCAGGCCATTGAAGTTCTCCTGTACAGAGAGATTAGAGTCATGCACCAGACTACTTACCTGAGAGCGACCATGGGACACAATACACCTACAGCTGCTATGGGAGTCAGAGAAAGTAGTAGTCTAAGATAAATGCAGGGAAGTATCCAACCTGATACAGTTTATACTTACTAGGAAAAGATTCTCAAGTCAGATGTAGTCACCTGCAGCAATCAGACCCAGCAAACAGGACTATGGGTTATTCTAAAGAACCAGCATGACTAAACACTTCATCTTTCAAGGCATTAGAAGTACCAGGACAAAAAGGGTAATACCCTGCAATAAGCACACCTGAGCCATTTCTCCTGAGTGCAGTATAACAAAACAGGAAGGAGGTCTCTGGCTCACTCGAGGCTTTGTATTACCCTTACTTGTAACACAACAGTGCTTCAAAGACCTAGACTTGGCACAAGTCCTCAACGTATTTATGCCTGGGCCAACAGCCGGCTGATGATACTTGACCCAGATTTTCCACAAAAAACACTGCAGCATTGCTGGGACCATATTAAGATTCCAAGTCAACCCACTGTTCTACCACTCTCCAGTCTACAGAGACATCCTGTAAATGACTGAATTCAGAGAAGAGTGCTCTTTTCAGCTCCCACCTTCCACCCTCACAACAAATCATCTGCAAGAGCCATTGGCCTAGTCCCCTTCCCTTGCAGGTCTGAAGGCAGTGTGCTTCCACGTTTTTCTGTGCTGTTCCCACCCCGCAAAACTCACCTGATTTCCTTGACTGAATCTTGGCACGCTACCAGCCTACCAACTTCAAAGCACAGCTTCAACCCCTGGCCAAAAGCCTTGCAGTCAGAAGACTGCCTCAGGAGTTAAGTCTGGACTCCTCTGTTCCCTGAAGGCAAAGAGGGCTGGCTGGAGAACAGGGGTAAGAACCTCCACAGTCAAGAAACAACATGAAGCTTCAGCTGAACTGCCAACAGTTTCCATCCCATGCAGTCTCACACCAACACAATGGCCTTCTGACACATCAAGCTACCAGGTACAGACACTTCCCAGTCAGCAGGCACAGGGCTAAGCACCACAATCGGAGTCTTCCACAGAAAGAAGGAATGTTCAGAGCAAAGGCACTTACCGGTCCCTTTGGAGGCGGATAGGAGAAGGGCGGATTTGGCGTTGGCATGGGCATAGGCATCATCACTGGCATGGGTACTATTCCATCATGACCAATCAGTGGGGCTGTAAATCCACCACCTCCTCCCCCTCCATGGCCACCCTTCTTCACATCATCTGTGAATCCCACATCAATTAGATCTGCCTCTCCACCTGCAGGGGCTTCAGCCTGGAGAGGGTGGAAGAATTCTGCTCATCAACACATCTCTATTCTGATCACAGCCCTCTGAAGAGCATTAGATGCAGCATTTGTCACTGGACAAGATGGGACAACACAACAAGGACACAACACAACAAGGACAGAACAGACAGCAGCTACACAGTGATATTAATGGGAATCAAAGGCAACCTGACTACAGCATGACTAACTACAGCCACATGCCATAGGGCTGTGGGAAGGAGCAGGGATCGTGCTACGCTAGGGCTGTCTAGAAGTTACCAAAGCACAACTACCACCCAGTTCGCTGCAATGCCACAGCCCTGTGCTCTGAAAGCCTGCACAGCACTAACAGGACATTTCAGCCACTGGAACACAGAAGGGAGCTCCAGACTTGCAGGTGCCTCACTCACCATCACCACTGAGTCAGGCTCATAGGGCACATTGTAGTTCTTGGCAATCTCAATGAGGTATCTCTCCACCAGAATCTTGGGCGGTGCCTCCACGCTCAGCTTGTGCATCAGCTGGAACACAAGGGTGCAGAAACACTCAGCGGGACCGGGGCAGTGCAGCACAGCAGAGCGCTATGCCAGCCAGGGCTACCTGCTGCAGGGAGCACAGTGCAGCCTTGGGGAGGCCCTTCCTCCCAGTATGGCACTGCTGCAGAGGACACTGCTGGCAACCACAGGCCACGGCTCCATGGGCTCTGCTCCTCTCCATTCACAGCCAGCACAGCAGGGCCCCACCTGCCAGGGACCTTGGCACTACACTTCCATGCTCCAATGCAGGCAGGCCCCTAGCAGCACAGCTGGCCCACCCTACTCTGCAGTGAGCCACAGGCATCAGCCACTAGCCACAGGAAAAAGGGGCAGAAAGCCACAGCAGGCACCTCTGTTCTGCCAGCTCCAGCTGGCTGCAGCTGTTCCACCAGTTTATTACCCTGTCATTGACTGTCCCAATCTGGTTTGTCCGGCACAGCTTCCCATACTCCTTGCTGTACTTGGCACACAGCTGGTCAGCAACCTGCAGCAGGAAAGAAACTCTGGGAATGTGCACACCTTTGCTTTCCCCCACCACACACTGCACATCTGCTGCAGCCCCTAGAGCCGCCCACTCCCTCCTCCCCAGGTCGCCCTCATTTCTGCCACTGAGTGCCCCAGCTGAGCAGCCTTAGCCATCCCTGATGCTCCTGGGACACCTATAATGGGATGTCCATCGGCAGAGCCCATAAAAACAAGTCCTCTGTCTTAAATGACACAGAGTCCCAGACAAAGGCTTCCACCAGTTTCTGGCAGCGTCACCCCCACCCTGCATACTTAACACTCCTCAAACAACCCTACTCACAATCTTCAGCTCAGCCACTTCCGACTGGAGTCGTGGTGCAGCCCAAATCAGCGTAGACACTGCTTCTGCCAGGCCAGAGTCCAGCTCCCTAAGGGCAACAGAAGACAATCCTATCTCCACACCAAGCACCTAGTCTTTGCTGTCCTCAATCTGCTTAGGCTGAAAGTCCCCATCCTCCATGCTGGGCTCGAGAGTCTTCCCTGACTGGGGAAGAAAAGGTCTCTGGAGGCCCTAGGACACCGAGACAAACACAGGTGCCCTTCTGTACCCCAGGCCTGCCCCCAGCAGTACCCCTCCCTGAGCCCAGGGGGCCTGGACCCTCTCCCACAGCATACCCTCTAGGCCAGAGCTTACTTCATGGACTGAATCAAGCCAAAGCGGGCTAGCAGCAGATCGCAGTACAGCTCCAGGATCTCCATGGCCTCCACAAGGTAATCTTCACGGATGATGTGCTCCACACGAATCCTGGCACGCTCATCTTTTCCGGCTGCCAGATAATCTGCAATCTCCTTCCTTGCCTTCTGGGCCAACTCAGCTACAGCACATATGCCCAAGGCCAGTCACTGTGCTGGCAAGGGCTGCTGCCTCTGTACCCACCCACAGTCCCTACCACACACAAAGCCATTACAAGCTTTCCTCTCTCCTTCAACGAGCCTCTGCAGGGCAAGACACTCAGCCATGGCTTGGCAGAGTCCTTGTGTCTAGGTCCTAGCACACTAACTCACAGAAGAAAGGAGAGTGGGCTTTTAGCTGCTAGAAACACTCCTACACCTTCGATTTCCCCAGAGAGTCAATCAGAACCATGGATCTTATCTGTGTCTGGGCAGGGCAGGACAGCACAAGTGGGGAGAGCCTCCCACAGCACCCAGGAAGTTCCCTGCTATGCTGTGAGCACATGAGGCCCGAGAAAGGCCCCCCAGGGCAAAATGGCATGTCCCTCCACACCATGCACCACATAGATTGCATCCCAATACCTGCCAGGAAGGTGGACAGAGGCCACGTTGCGGCCAGCCTGCTCCTCCAGGTACTCACACACTGGGGCAGACTGCAAGGCCTAGGTCCCTCAGGGAAGTGCAAAAGGCTACTCCATACTCAGCCCATGAAAGTACCCTGACTCCAGAAAAATCTCCTCAAGTCTCCTGAGCCCCAAAAGTATCTTGGGTCACACCTGCCCCCTCAAATACTCACTCTTCTTTTTCTCCAGCAGTTTGAGGCGATTGATGACAAGGCGCAGGTTGACTCGCAAGCGCTCAGCCTTGAACCCAGAGCCCAACATGATAAATGCTTTCTGTGGGAGAAGAGGGGAAGGTCATTGGAACCAAGAGCTGTTGGTCAGAAGGACACCAGTCACTGTTTTACTTGGCGGGGGGTGTCGTGGTTTAACCCCAGCCAGCAACTAAGCACCACGCAGCCGCTCACTCACTCCCCCCCCATCCAGTGGGATGGGGGAGAAAATCAGGAAAAGAAGTAAAACTCCTGGGTTGAGATAAGAACCATTTAATAGAACAGAAAAGAAGAAGCTAATAATGATAATGATAACACTAATAAAATGACAACAGTGGTAATAAAAGGATTGAAATGTACAAATGATGCGCAGGGCAATTGCTCACCACCCGCCGACCGACACCCAGCCAGTCCCCGAGCCGCGATTCCCCACCCCCCCTTCCCAGTTCCTAAACTAGATGGGACGTCACATGGTATGGAATACACTGTTGGCCAGTTTGGGTCAGGTGCCCTGGCTGGGCATGAGAAGCTGAAAAATCCTTGACTATAGTCTAAACACTACTGAGCAACAACTGAAAACATCAGTGTTATCAACATTCTTCACATACTGAACTCAAAACATAGCACTGTACCAGCTACTAGGAAGACAGTTAACTCTATCCCAGCTGAAACCAGGACGGGGGAAAGCCAAACAAATTCTCCAAACAAAGAGGCACAGGCCTGCTATTCCTGCATCTGGTTATTTACAAATGACTGGACCTACTCATGATTCCCTTTCCCACTTTACAACGCTGCACCTAACCAAGGCCAACAGGGAACAGAACCTTCCTGGATATTCCCATTCTGTCAGACTGAATCTTGACCCCAGAAACAGTTGTAAGATGATAAAAAGCTGGGGCTACTCCATAAATAGGAACAGGGTTAGAAAACATATCCTAAAACAAGAAGTTAAAGGCCTGGGTCTATTTAACCTAGATAAGTAACACTAGCCACTGATGTGAATACCGCAGGACAGTAAAGTTTTAAGAATGTTAGACAAACATCTGCCAGCAGCGGTCTAGGAAAATGTGATTGTGCCTCAATTCAGTAAGCTGAGCTTACCGAGGTGGTATTTTGAGGTTCTATTCAGTCCTAGATTTCTAAGACACCCAAGTGGAAAAAACCCTCAGATTTCCCAAAAAACAGCATAGCTACTAGAAGACATGCTTTCATTCCCTTACTTCAAAAGGTGATGGAAGTGAACCAATGCCTCAAGATACTGTCTGCAACAACTATCACACAGTCAAATCCTCTCTCTCTCTCTCTGTTACTTCATTGATAAAACCACATTTTTAAAGAAACATGAAAGTCAACTGCAAGAACCAAGCCAGCTTCTGTCCTATTAATACGCAAGTTGTAAAACAGCTGTATAATTAATCCAAGGACATAAAAACTAAGATTGTAACAGTCCTGTCATCAGAAGGAAAAAGTTGGCATTCCATATTCCCCACACTCTTCCTGCTTACTGAACACATGCTCTGGCACTTCTCCAGTCTCTCATGAGTCAGTTCAACTCATTGGTCCCACAGAAAACTAACTCAGAAGTTTTATTATGCCAAGAACTATTCATCAAAAAACGCTTCCTTAAGAGCTATCACATAGAAAGACCTTGGCTTGTACCGGAAGGACACATTGGTGCAGACTTTTGGATAGTGATAGCATTTTGCACATAACAAGTGGTTTACATAGGATTTATTACTATCTACAGTACATCCAGTTTATTTAACTGGTCTATTCAAGTTATTTCAATGATGCACAGAACCAACCAAGCTCAAAAAACATTGCTACAGAAATATATATGCATGTGTATTGGGTTTGCGTGACAAGGTTTTGGTAGTGGGGGTGGGCTACAGGGGTGACTTCTGTAAGAAGCTGCTAGAAGCTTCCCCTATGTCCAATGGAGCCAATGCCAGCTGGCTCCAAGATGGACCCACCACTGGCCAAGGCAGAGCCTATCACTGATGGTGGTAGCACCTCTGTGAAAACATATTCAAGAAGGGGGGGGGGAATAACCGGGCACCAGAAACTCCAGCTGGAGAGAGGAGTGAGAATATATGAAAGAAACAACCCTGCAGACCCCAAGGTCAGTGAAGAAGGAGCAGGAGGAGGTGCTCCAGGTGCCAGAGCAGAGATTCCCCTGCAGCCCACAGTGAAGACCATGGTGAGGCAGGCTGTCCCCTTGCAGCCCATGGAGGTCCACAGTGGAGCAGATATCCACCTGCAGCCCATGGAGGACCCCATGCCAGAACAGGGGGATGCCTGAAGGAGGCTGTGACCCCGTGGGAAGCCTGAGCAGGCTCCTGGCAGGACCTGTGGCCCTGTGGAGAGAGGAGCCCACGATGGAGCAGGTTTGCTGGCAGGACTTGTGACCCCACGGGGGACCCAAGCTGGAGCAGTCTGTGCCTGAAGAACTGTAGCCTGTGGAAGGGACCCATGCTGGAGCAGTTCGTGAAGGACTATCTCCCGTGGGAGGGACCCCATGCTGGAGCAGAGGAAGAGTGAGGAGACCTCCCCCTGAGAAGGCAGGAGCTGCAGAGACAACATGTGATGAACTGACCCCAACCCCCATCCCCCTGTGCCACTGGGGCAGAGGAGGTAGAGGATTTGGGATTGAAGCTGTGCCCAGGAAGAAGGGAGGAGTGGGGGGAAAGTGTTTTAAGATTTGGTTTTATTTCTCATTACCCTACTCTGGTTTGATTGGTAATAAATTAAGTTTATTTTCCCCCAGTCAAGTCTGTTTTGCCCATGATGGCAATTAGGGAGTGATCTCTCCCTGTTCTTATCTTGACTCATGAGCCTTTTTGTTATATTTTCTCTCCCCTGTCCAGCTGTGGGGGTGAGTGACAGAGCGGCTTTGGTGGGCACCTGGTATCCAGCCAGGGTCAACCCACCACAGCATGATGTAAGTCTGATGCCATAAAAAATAAGTTTTGCTCTTCTGTAACTGGAACATACTCCTACAACATTAAAATAACTTCACAGTGCTGCAAGAAACAGTTTCAGAACAAGTTGCAACGTCTCTGTAGAAATACCTATTAAATAACTATTCTGACTAACAACCTGTTTTAACAGATTAATTCAAAATACAGCCATTAAGTAGAAGCCGGCTCACCAGCCACTCTTTTGCAACCATCCTGCTGTCGTTCCAAAAAGTTTTGTTGCCCCGACTCTCCCGCATAAGCCTCTCAGCCACGCTGCTGCAGGAACACTGACCCAGTTCTTCCTTTCTTGTACCTTGCCTTCCCATCCCTTCCTGTTGACGGGATGCTACTCTGACCAGACCGAAATTAACCTTTACTCGTACAGCAATTAGCCTGTTGCTGGGTCGGTTTCCAAGGGCATTGGCCAGCCGGCGAGACTCACCCCGTAGCTGCCCAACGGCCAGGGCTAGTTCAGAGAAGTGCGCAGGCAGCGCAGGAGGTCCTGGGTTAACCGGAGCAGCTGCACGCCGACGGGTCTGCAGCGGAGAGATCCCTCTCCCTCTCTGCTGCGGTCCCCAGCGAGGCGGCGCCGAGGGAACGTCCCACCGCGCGGACGGGGCAGGCCCCGGACCTGCCCTCAGCCCCACCAGCCGGCACTTGGGGCAAGGCATCCGCCTCACTACCAGCACCCTCTCGGCCACCGAGCGCGCCCCACCGCCCCCAGCTCGGCCGCCCCAGCCCCACTCACCAGCCACCCTTCCGCGCAGGCTTCAGGCACGCAAAATGGCGGGCCTCCTTCCGCACCACCTCACCGCGTGCGGAGGGATCTACGGCGCCGACACTCCCCACCCATTACCCGGGGCACGACCGAGCTCGCTGCGGCAGCTACGGCGGCAAGGCCGCAATACATGCCGGCCGCACGGGCGCGGCGGCGTCCCGGGAAAGAAGCGGCAGCGGCCCAAGCGAGGAGAGCGGCGCCGAGGGACTAAATGACCCAGCGGAGGGATTCGACTCGCGCAAGTGCTCAGTGGTACTCCCGATAGGCGCCCGCCGGTACCCGCCCCCCGGCGCGGAGGTTCCGGCAGTACAGCGTTCCGGCTGCGGCTGCCCCTGCCGTCAGCCCCGCCTCTACGGGGGACGGGAGCCGCTCGGCTGAAAGACACCGCGCAGGGTCGCGGGCGGGCGAAGGGGGTCTCCGGTTCTCTAAAGGCCAGGCGGCGGTGGCGCCTCCGTGAGGGAGGGTCGGGCCGAGGCTGAGCCCGGTCCCGGTCCCGGTCCCAGGGGCTGCGGTCCTGCCGCCGCGTTCCTGCGGGGCGGCGCAGCCCCGAGGGTAAGCTGGCCCGGCGTCGGTCCCAGGCGGTGCCCGCAGACCCTTGCGGAGGCGGCTGCTCTGGGGCTGGCGATGGCCCGCGCGGGGAAGCAGCCCAGAGGCCCCCCCACTCTGCGGGGCGGGGCGGTTCATTTCTAAACGGACGCATGAGTTCACAGCGCACGTGGTGGCTTTTAAATTAATAGTAAAATCGTGATTTTTGACCTTGCAGGGTAAGCGAGATTCTGGTGAGCTCGGGTAGCGCAGGGGCAGCCGCCTCCCGACCCGGGCGGTGGGGCTCGGCAGCTGCCAGCGGAGGGGGCCGGGGCTCGGCGCCGCTGCCCGGGCCGCCCGCCGGGGTACGCGAGGCCGGCAGCTGGCACGGATGACCTCCTTCGGGCGGGCAGGAGCTGCCGGCTGGGACGGATCCATGAAAAACAGGTGAGGCGCTTCCGATAACGAACAGCTGGCCCCG